ACACGTTTTTTCACCATAAATGTGCTTGCCACATCATCAATTTGATTGTTAAAGCAAGTTTAGAAGCTATACATGCGATGATTGAAAGGATGCGCGCGGCTATCAGATTTATCGCCGGTAGCAATACAAGATGGAATGAGTATGTAAAATATTGTTGCCAAGAGGAGCCATCGGTTCGACCAATGAAGTTATATACGGATATGTCTGTCCGTTGGAACTCCACCTACTTGATATTGCAAAAAGCTATGCCAACTGTAATACAAATTACAGAGTTCGTCTACCGAACGAAGTCGTCAACAATGATGATTGGACGGTTTGCAATATTTTTCATTCATTTCTTAAAGTTTTTTACGATTCCACTAATACATTAAATGGTATTTATTATCTTACTACTAATTTAGCATTATATATTTTACTTCAAATTTCTAAAAATTTTGCTAAACATAGATATAATCCAGACTTAATGCATATTGTTTTAGACATGCAAACAAAGTACTAGAAATATTAGTTAGATATTTCATTCTTATACGGATTAGGTCTTATTGTAAATCTTAGGTTTAAATTAAACGTATTTAATTGTATGGTTACTGAGATAAGTCAGCATTCAAGACATGACTATAGTTATTATTTGATAGACTTTAACAAAAAATTGAAAAACTTTTTTTCTTTATATCAGACTAGGTACAGTGGAATGCCCAGTAGAGACGACTAGTAGGACCTTGATGAAGACATTTATTAATAAGGATCGAACATGTGGACGTATATGGAACTTAGTAGTGGTGGTGGTGGAAGTAGTAGCTCCAGATCGTACAGACATGGATCAAATGAGTTGCAGCGATACCTAGAAATGGACATGTCCTACATGACCAAGAATGTGAGATAGATATGCCTTAATGGTGGAACCAAAATGCAAGTCGATTATCTATTGTATCCTAAATGACACGTGATATTTTATCTGTGCCAATTTTGACAATTGCATCCGAGTCAATATTCTCAATTAGTGACCAAATTGTTGAAGATAGAAGATGCGCTTTAATCAATTAGATGGTTGAAGTCATAACATGTTTACGGGATTGGACTCATGCAGACAGAAGACTATAGTGGCACTCTGAAGATCTCGAACTACTCGATCTCTTAAAAAACACAGATTTGGATTATGTAAATTAATAATTTAATAAAAACAAATTTATTTAATTATTTATTTGTGAAGTGTGAATATTATATTTATGTTAAATTAACTCATCTCTTTAAATTAAAACCATATAAATTTAAAACCAATTAACCATTCATTTATATACATATTTTATTTTTTTTGGCTAAGTAAGTAAATTGTATAAAAAGAAGAAGGATTTACAAAGGCGGCCAACCTACATCGGGACATTCCCTACGTAGGGAGCAAAAAATAAATAAATGCCTAAGCTTGACACTACACAATTCTCTTGGGAGCCTATCTAAACCAACACGGGAGATAAGACCCAAGAGAAAGAATCTAGCTAAGAAATCAACAACAAAACACCATCCCCAGGACAATCCCCTGGGCTTGGCTCCAAAAAACACATACAATGAGACACAAAGAAGACATAAAGTAGAGAAAACAAAGAGAGTGAGGATACACCGCAACAAAGTCTTCACAATAACAACGAGCAAGTCAATAAGTCTCTCATCAAAAGAACAACATCTCACTCGATCAAATGGTCACCAATAACTTCGGGAGTGAAATGGGTGTCTTTGAAGATGGTTTTAGGAAGTCCCCATGTATCAGCCAACTTCTTATTTTTATGGGAAGATTTAATATTGCTAAGTTCCATGACTTTGTCTTTCACCACACTTTTGATAGTATTGATAATAGTGCAAGAATCCTTGCACTTTCCCTCAAAGATCCTACAATTTGGCTCCCTCCAAACCCAATAACATTCATTTCTTTTATTTACTAATTAATTAATTTGTTTACAAATCACCCCCTAAAAAATTACATAAACCCCCTACATGATTTTTTATTTAGCCCTAAAGATATAAAGATATAAAAAAATTAGGATGCCTAAATGTAATTTTCTAGGCCCATGCCCATGACCAGTCCCTAGGACTGGTTCGGGCCTTGAGAATTTTCATGGGCTTGAGACTAGTCCCAGCCTAATTGGGACCAATCCCATTGGGCCCAATCGTGGGCCCGGTTGGAACTAAGCCTTGCCCACCTATAACTGCACCAGTGAAGGGGGACCCAAACACAACCTTTTTTTATCTGAAAATCCCATTTTTTTTTTTTTGTTAGTTGATATGATTAAAACTGTTTTTTGTCCACAATATAGCCCTACTAGTAGAGGTATAAGTAGAAGGTACATACAAAAACTTTATACTAAAATAAGATATCAACTTAAAAAGGAATTTAAAATTTTTAGGAATATATCTATTGCACTTACTTCAGACATATGGGCTATTAGATCAAAAACTGATTTTTTGAGTGTCACAATATATTACCTAGATCATAGTTGGTGTTTACAACAAAAATTGATAGGTTTTAAACCATTATATGCTAAACATAGTGTTGAGACTATTTATTTTACAATTATTAAACTTTTGCAAAATTATGTATTAACTAAGAGAGTTGTGGTGCTAACGCTTGATTGACAATTTCTTTATTTGAAAAGAGATTGGATCTGCTTGGTGAAGACACGTTTTTTCACCATAAATGTGCTTGCCACATCATCAATTTGATTGTTAAAGCAAGTTTAGAAGCTATACATGCGATGATTGAAAGGATGCGCGCGGCTATCAGATTTATCGCCGGTAGCAATACAAGATGGAATGAGTATGTAAAATATTGTTGCCAAGAGGAGCCATCGGTTCGACCAATGAAGTTATATACGGATATGTCTGTCCGTTGGAACTCCACCTACTTGATATTGCAAAAAGCTATGCCAACTGTAATACAAATTACAGAGTTCGTCTACCGAACGAAGTCGTCAACAATGATGATTGGACGGTTTGCAATATTTTTCATTCATTTCTTAAAGTTTTTTACGATTCCACTAATACATTAAATGGTATTTATTATCTTACTACTAATTTAGCATTATATATTTTACTTCAAATTTCTAAAAATTTTGCTAAACATAGATATAATCCAGACTTAATGCATATTGTTTTAGACATGCAAACAAAGTACTAGAAATATTAGTTAGATATTTCATTCTTATACGGATTAGGTCTTATTGTAAATCTTAGGTTTAAATTAAACGTATTTAATTGTATGGTTACTGAGATAAGTCAGCATTCAAGACATGACTATAGTTATTATTTGATAGACTTTAACAAAAAATTGAAAAACTTTTTTTCTTTATATCAGACTAGGTACAGTGGAATGCCCAGTAGAGACGACTAGTAGGACCTTGATGAAGACATTTATTAATAAGGATCGAACATGTGGACGTATATGGAACTTAGTAGTGGTGGTGGTGGAAGTAGTAGCTCCAGATCGTACAGACATGGATCAAATGAGTTGCAGCGATACCTAGAAATGGACATGTCCTACATGACCAAGAATGTGAGATAGATATGCCTTAATGGTGGAACCAAAATGCAAGTCGATTATCTATTGTATCCTAAATGACACGTGATATTTTATCTGTGCCAATTTTGACAATTGCATCCGAGTCAATATTCTCAATTAGTGACCAAATTGTTGAAGATAGAAGATGCGCTTTAATCAATTAGATGGTTGAAGTCATAACATGTTTACGGGATTGGACTCATGCAGACAGAAGACTATAGTGGCACTCTGAAGATCTCGAACTACTCGATCTCTTAAAAAACACAGATTTGGATTATGTAAATTAATAATTTAATAAAAACAAATTTATTTAATTATTTATTTGTGAAGTGTGAATATTATATTTATGTTAAATTAACTCATCTCTTTAAATTAAAACCATATAAATTTAAAACCAATTAACCATTCATTTATATACATATTTTATTTTTTTTGGCTAAGTAAGTAAATTGTATAAAAAGAAGAAGGATTTACAAAGGCGGCCAACCTACATCGGGACATTCCCTACGTAGGGAGCAAAAAATAAATAAATGCCTAAGCTTGACACTACACAATTCTCTTGGGAGCCTATCTAAACCAACACGGGAGATAAGACCCAAGAGAAAGAATCTAGCTAAGAAATCAACAACAAAACACCATCCCCAGGACAATCCCCTGGGCTTGGCTCCAAAAAACACATACAATGAGACACAAAGAAGACATAAAGTAGAGAAAACAAAGAGAGTGAGGATACACCGCAACAAAGTCTTCACAATAACAACGAGCAAGTCAATAAGTCTCTCATCAAAAGAACAACATCTCACTCGATCAAATGGTCACCAATAACTTCGGGAGTGAAATGGGTGTCTTTGAAGATGGTTTTAGGAAGTCCCCATGTATCAGCCAACTTCTTATTTTTATGGGAAGATTTAATATTGCTAAGTTCCATGACTTTGTCTTTCACCACACTTTTGATAGTATTGATAATAGTGCAAGAATCCTTGCACTTTCCCTCAAAGATCCTACAATTTGGCTCCCTCCAAACCCAATAACATTCATTTCTTTTATTTACTAATTAATTAATTTGTTTACAAATCACCCCCTAAAAAATTACATAAACCCCCTACATGATTTTTTATTTAGCCCTAAAGATATAAAGATATAAAAAAATTAGGATGCCTAAATGTAATTTTCTAGGCCCATGCCCATGACCAGTCCCTGGGACTGGTTCGGGCCTTGAGAATTTTCATGGGCTTGAGACTAGTCCCAGCCTAATTGGGACCAATCCCATTGGGCCCAATCGTGGGCCCGGTTGGAACTAAGCCTTGCCCACCTATAACTGCACCAGTGAAGGGGGACCCAAACACAAAAGGTACACGAAAATGATGAAAAATCACTCTACCCTTCTCCTCCTACGCTTCCATATTCACATTAAAGAGTAGAGGTAGAATAACTATCTCTAATTACTCCCTGTTTGCTTCATGCTTAAAATTTGAAAATGAATTCATTGTCATTTTATAGAAACAATATTTGAAAAAGAGCACGCCCCTACAAAAAGGGTGGTATTACTGTTGTAATGATCTTGAATTCATCTGATGAATACGCTTGACAACTACAAGGTTTCAAAATGGGTTCACTCAGGCAACGCAACGGCAAAAGGCACAAATCCATCAAGGATAGATAGTTAATGATGCAGCTAAATTTTAAAAAACAACCTCCCTTTAGCAGCTGGGGAATTGTATAACACAAATTCAATCAGACTTACCTTAGCATTTTTCTGCTTTTGCACCTATCTGAAGCACTTAAATTAGGATGCTTTAGGCAGCACGGAGAGAGCAGTGAATATTCAACTACTTGGTTTCTTCTCCCAAGTTACCCCTTTGGCAACTCATTAACCTGCAACTGATGATAAGCAAGACTCTACCAATGATGCTGAAATCTAACTGGATGGATCACAATTCAAACACATGCCTTACAAATAGACAAATCGGGTTAATGGTGCCTCCCAAACAATGGTTCTAAATCCATTGCTGACTGAGACAAGTGATAAACTGAAAAATAAAAAATCTACCTATCGAAAACTAGACGCATATATATTTTCTAAGAGGAATCTCTCTTTAAAAATTGGTTTACAGATAACTGCACTACAAAAGCAGCAAACAGTGGCCAAAGTAGAAGGATTCTGAAGTTTTGAGATAAAGGACTTGCTGGCATCATTTGACTGACCTTCTTTCTTCAATTCGTACATGAAGCTCATCGTAAGCCTGTTTGGAGTTGGCAGCAAATTTCTCAATGGCCATGAAAATCTGTTTTAGACCAGACTGCATACTACCACTCCCTTCCCTAGCCAATAGAATCATCCTTTTGTCTCGAGCTTGTATGACCTTTTGGATCTTTTGCTCCTCCCTCTCCGAGGTCTTAACTTGTCTTTCCACATCCTTGTTGGCAATTACCATTTGCTGCAGGTCTGCTTTATGCCGCTCCAAGAGTTGATTTACACTTGCGGAGAAACCATAAATGGCTTCAGTCACTTCTTTCTCTGATAGTTTATCCATGGCTTGTGACCACTGATAAGCTATAACAAACACAGGGGGTGCTCCAACCCTACCAGGAGAGAAGGGCACTATACCATCAGGAGTTACCTCAGGATCATATCGAAGACATTTCATTAGCCAACCATTCAAGGCTTTGACATAACTTTTTTGTGCTTCAATCCAATTGGAGAAGTTTAGGTTACAATTTTGTAGCTCAAGCTTGAGTTTTATTGCAGATTCAAGATGAGCATGGTCAAGCTTTGCATTTGATGCAATGACATCTAAACCTTTGGCTTCTAAAACTGTTTGGGACTGACACCTATGACATTCAAGCATAGCTTTCCACATTTCAAGCAACCTGCTGACACCATAAATAGATCACAGTTAAACAAAATAAAAGCATCAGCCGCAAGAAAACTTCAATCTAAAAGTTGTCACATACCATTGAAACTGAGGAAAGGAGAAAAGGAAAAAGAAAAAAGAAAAAGTGGTCAGATAGATAGAAACCATCTCATTTAGGCAATAAGAAGTGCATGCACCTTCAATCACAAATGGGGAAAAATAAATCAAATCTTCATATAAAGCTAAGCACAGTTGATTCTTCCATTACCAATGTTTAATCAAGTTCCTAGTAGTGCAAACAAGACAAAAGGAATAGACACAGTAATCTAAAACTTAAATAATCATGTACCTCTGAACCAACTCCCTGATGTGCAGCCACAATTCTTCATCCCTCAACTTATTTATAGAAATAGACATCTTGTCAATGACTTGAATTGCAATTTTGATCCTAGTAGATAAATTCCTGAGCATTGTTCGAGCCGCGTCAACTTTAAGAGTTTCAGCACCCTTCTCATCCATACTTTTCATCTGCCTACACTTCCTCGCATAAAGTAGGCGCAATTTCTCCTCAGCCTTCAAACACAAAGAACATTATCTTAATTTTCATGTCCAAACTAAAGGAGACAAAAGACAGAAGAGATCCGACAGAATGTAGTATTCTGATGCTTGCTTTAGTCATTACCAATGGAGAAAAATATTGCAATTTTCACTTGTTATATTAACGTTAATACTTAATATTCATGCTCCGCCTTCTGGCCATGATTTTCTTTTAGCCAAAAATTGTAATTTTCCTAGTTCATTATAGAGATATTTCACAGCATTTCTTCCAACAGCCTAAAACATAGAGGTAACGAAAGATTATTTTGAACGGTGTCTTTTGGATGGAAGGTACAGCTTTGGCTCATCAACGGGTGATTTGAAGTCCCAAAATCAAACAAAAGTTATCACCCTGAGATAGCAGAATGATGGAAAAAGGACATGGTGTCCATACTTTGTTCTCACAAAAAATTGAGTTGAGAGGGCAGAAATATGCACTGGTAGTATGTGAATTAGATGAATTTAAAAAACAAATAAGTAAAAAATTTCAATTCATGGAAAACTTCTAGAGTATATTGACTTGATCATTTCACCATAATTACAGAAACATTCCGAAGGAGTTTTTCCCCCTCTAATTTATTTGATACAAAACAAACTCAAATATATAGATATAAAAATGTTCAGAATCGTCATAAAAATTGAGAAATTTTTAACAATTTGAATTTGCAGTTAATATAACAGAATTGATTCAAAGTTTGCTCATCAACATATAATTCAAAAAAAGTTATAGTTGCTATGAACCATCAACATCAAACTTTGAATTCACCGACAAATTCCTCTGTTCACTGATTTAGCGAGAATCACAAAAAGGCAAAGGCAAATACAAATTTAAAGAAACTTGGGTTGGACCACTGTAAAGGCAGGCATACCTTAACTTCATCATAGAGTTTTCTCTCCCACATGCACAGTTTCTTCAGAGTTGCTGTCAGATTTTTTGAATTCAGAACCACATCATCCTCCAAACCTTGATAATTGAAATGTGTAGATACCACCATTCTCGATGGACTCACCGCGTGCAACATCTTGGATGATACTACAAAAACAATAAGGTTTAAACACTTATTAACGAATTCAAATCTCCAAAATTCTTTGTTACTGAACGAACTAGAGATTACCTTGACCGTAGACAGAAAATTTGTGATGATAACGAAATTTACCGGTGTCAAACATTTTCAAAACTTCATTACCAGACTCTGATGCTCTTTCAAACTGAACCTGTACATCTCTCATAACCTCGGAGACACCCCATTGACCATTTTGACCACTACTCTTTGATTCAGGCTCCACCGACCGCTCTTTCTCTGAAACGACCTTCTTTTTCTCCACGTCATCACCCTTCTCTTTCACCAAAGTGGGCACGACGTTATCATTTCCTGCTGAAATGTGTTCGTGTTCTTGTTTTTTCTCGTCAGTTTCTTTGTCCTGTTGTGGATCGCGAGTAACACCGTACGGATTTTCGTATTTCTCGAGTGGCTCAAAGAAGTTCAAGAAATCCCAAGCGGAGCCACTCGGAGTTGGAGGCGGTGGCGTTTTGGACGCCCAATCACGACCACTCATTTCACCATTATGCCGGTAACTTCTAGAATTATCGTTATAATTCATAGCCATGAATGTATTAAAATAGTTCGAATGGTTATGGTTAAACGAGTCGAAATCTTTAATTCTATCTTCATCCTCAGAGTCGGAATCGAAATGAATATGCGAATCTGAGGTTAAACTCGACGGCGACAGGTCAGGTGGAGAAGATTTTGATGATTTGGCAGGATCATCGTTGGATGGAAAATTAACGTCCTGGTGGTCGATGAACTGGTGAAGAGTAGAACCAAGCGTCTTGAGAGACTGCATATAGGCCACGTGTGCATCGGCAAGGGCATAGCTATGGTATAGCGCGTCTTCAAGGAAGTTGCAGCGATCACGGCACAGAGCGACGGCTGGGAGGCCATCGAGCTTTGACGTGTTGCATCCCATGACTGAGACGCGGTTCTTGAAGAAGAAACAGCGGTGGCTACGGACGGTTTAATATCTCTCGGAGACTTTGATTACGCATTTAAGGTGGTGCGTACTGCGTAAAGGAGTTATGAGAGAGAAGGAGAGTGTAGTGGACTCTGATTTTTATAGAGGCAAAAAGGAGTGGCGGGATTTTTCATAACGTCTCTTTAATAGTTTTTGCCTTTTTGCCCATGATTTTATTATTATTTGAATAAATTAGTTGTCTTTAAAAGGTCATTATTTTTTTATAATTACCTTCCAATTTTTCATTTAAAATTTTTTTGGCACATTTTTAAGTTTGAATTTAAAAGAGAAAAATATTTTGAACTTGTTAGAAAGTGTACAAAAATAAAGCTGTTGTCTTCGTTTTAATTTATTGTATTAAATGGTGATTACCGATTATAATTATTTATGAAAAATATTTACATAGTTCTACACAATAATCGTGATAAAGTGAGCTTAAATAATAGCTTTGTGGGATATGCTCGACATGCACGGTCAAAAAAAGTTGAGTAGAATTCACTTTTTAAAACTAGTTTAAAAAATGAGAGAATACATCCACGTATATACATCATAAAACCTATCAAATTAACGATATTGGACAAATATAACTTCTAACCGTTAAGTTGACATTCACGCAAATTTTTTCATGCATAATACTACAGATGCAATATTTTTATACAATATGACGTGATAAAAAATGATTAATTGATTTTAAATTAAAAATAAACTTTTATTCAATATTTTTTATCGCATCATGACGTAAAGAAAATGTTTTATGTTTATAATATCAAAAGTTTTAATAAAATTTAGAATTTCGCAATGTATTATCACAGAAACCTTATTGAGAAAACCTTTTTTTTTTTTTTTTTTTTTAAATTTATCAAAAGTTTTAATAAAATTTAGAATTTCGCAACGTATTATCACAGAAACGTTATTGAGAAACCTATCTGGGAAAGAATCAAGGGCTCATGGAAGACATGATTGAGTGGGCCTCGGAAAGAATCATGGCAATTCATGCATAAGTGATTCGATATGACAATGCTTGCGTGTAGAAAAAGCTATGCACAACCACAAACCTAGTGATTTGACGAGACAAAAGCAAGATTTCATTTTCAAATCACCATAATAGCAGGGCATAGTTATTAGTTAGGTGAGTTTAGTGCTTCATGATATTCAATGATAGTGCTTTGTACTATTTTCAATCTGCAAAATGATTGTAGCAAAAAGTGGAACAGCTCTTAAATGCATAACGTCTTAAATACCCAGTTGGGTTAAAAACAGTTTAACCCAACTGGGTATTTCTGTGGAATGATTGATTGTGAGAAAGAAATAAAGAAATGCAGAACGTTGGAATGTAAAAGGGTGTCAAATTTGAAGCCAAATGAAGGACGAGGCAGCAACAGTTTGATATTCGAATCTGAGACTGAGAGAGAGAGAGAGACCTAAAAAGAAGTTAAACGGTGGAATTCCAAGTCAGTAAAATTTGTCTGTACCGTCCTCTCCTTTTTGTTTGTTTTTATGTGAGAAAGCATGGCCCTCTTCTTCGTTTTTATTAGGGCTCAAGCATATTATCCTTATTTCTAGGAAAGGCTATCTTTTGCTAGTGCCCTATAAAATATGCAAAGTGAAGATTACTTCTTCTTTAATTACGTGCACATCACATGACTGCTGGTCCAGCACCAGCAACCAGGCAGGCCCCCCTGGCCTTACTCTTCCTCCTGCTCTTTCATAGACAGTTGGTGAAGGATGCTACTCACTTTCGCAACCTGATTTCTTAAAACATGGGACGATCAACTGTTTTGTGTAAACTTTAACCACACCTTTTCCTTAATATTTGACCATAACTCCATGCCTCACTCATCTATATTATCGCTTTCCCAGTTTCCAAGTTCGAAAAATTAAGGTTTTGAATCACTAAGAGGAATTCTTCTGTAGAATTTATTCAGTAAAGGGATATTGTCAAGGTCTGATAGTGGAGCCTTTTATCGTAAACCCTTTTTTGTTTCCTTTCCTCGTAGTCGTAGGTATCTTTGTTGTTAATTAACAGTGCTATGAAGAGATCAAAAAGATTTGGAAATTACATTAACATATACTAATGATAAAGCCAAAACCCATATTGTTTCAAAAGTGAAAGTGGGGAGCTTTTTTATCGGGATGTAAATTTAAATGCTCACTTCAACTTTTGAGGGTGCTACTGCTACCTCTCTGGAGTATCAAAGGGCTTTTATTTTATCCTTTTCATTTCTTTTTATAAAGGAAATTTGTATTGTTGTGGTACAATTTCAAACTCCTTTTGCCCTATATCAATAGTGGGCTGTGGTCCATTTGAATGGGATGGAGAATCTGAGGTCCAGCTTCTTCTTTAGAGAAGCATTGAATTGACCCTACGAATTAGGATCAACTGGGCTTTGGTGAATGAGAGTGCTCTTATTTCAATATAACAACACTGGAATAACTGAATAAGAGTGCTATTATTGGACATGTCCAACCTGTATTGTGCAAATGGTCAATGACAAGAGGGGGATCGAGTTCAATTATTTGAGGATCAGGGTCCCAAATTTCTTAATAATAATGGAGTAGACATTAAGTTCATGCACCCATAATACAACTATTTTTGTTAAAATTTTTGCCTTCTCACAATAGGCAAAGAGATGATGGTTTACTAAAATGAAAAGGGACCACATTCTCTTTATTGATTCTCCTTTTTTTGTTGGGGACTGCCTAACAATTTAAAGTCTTGAGCTAAAATATGCTGTCAATGCCGGTGGAGAAGAGTCCTGATTCATGAACTGAGTTGAAGGGAAGGGAAAACAAGGCCAATTATATGAAAGCCTTATGGTTCTCTTAATTCCTTAATTTCATAAGCTTAAAATTATTGAGGCAAAACACAAGTCATGATTGGTCTTTAATTATCTGAATTTCCAGCAAATCTACCCACTTTTAAATTAATCAAATCTACTTATACAATTCCATTATATCTAACAAACCATGTGTTTCTTTGTTTCAGTTAGCCATCCCCCCATCAACGTGCGGACTCTGTATTTTGTTTTCTCTTCTTCATCTCTCTCCCTCTCTATGTAACAGTTGCAATTATACAATTTACTCGACACTCTCCGTAGGGTATTCAATTATAAATAAAGTTTATTATGGATTATATATTGTTCTGCAGTAAGTCCTTGAAACATAGATTTACGTTACGTGTCATTCTTTTAAGTTAACAAGTTTATCGTAACAACATATAAGCCTCCTTTTCACTCAGATTAGGAATATGTTTTGATTAATATCTTGTAGGTCGTACTTGTACACAGAAAAACACAGAAAATAATATAAGAACAATGAACGTAGGATTAGCATTGAGCATTTGAAACACTTTAAAAATCTTTTATTTGTGCTATTGTTTGATTTCTTATTTATCAATCGATCTAGCATCAAAACCACAGGTTTTATATAAATTCGTGTGTAGATTCTATTACAAATTCTATGTACTTTTCGTTGGTACAACTCTTAGCATCAATACATATCTCCGATGTTGCCTGAGCACATATCGTATTGGATTATTGTAAATGTAAATTTAAGTGTATTAGTAGATTTAATTTTCCATGATTAATTGTTTCATAAGTTAGAATTAGATCTTATCCAATCACGTAATCGATCTACTTTATAGGAAAGCATATTTATTTTTCAAATGGGTAACTTATTCTACATGCAGGATTGTTTTCCCTAATCCCTATGCCATAATCGTTTCCTTAATTATGATCTAAATATAATGCGCATGATCAGGTTACTTACAAAACAACAAAACAAAAGGGATAAACGTCTAAAGGCTTAAAATTTTGGAAGATTGCTGTAGGATCATCTTGCCAAAAGAAATTCTTTTTTTTTTATTTGAGTAACATGTGGTAGCCAACTAGCGTACTTTGTATAAAGAGATTAATGGAAGGAAAAATTTCATGTAATGGCGATTTAGAAGTGAATTAACTTTAAGAACCAGTTATTCATTTTATGAATTATGAAGTATATATAATTGAAGACTGAAGACAATCAATTTACAGAAATCCTGAACTGTACAGCATTCCATTCCGTTTATGTTCACAGCTGGAGACTAGCTTGGACGTATCTCATTTCGTTCTAAGTAAATGAAACATAAGGAGAAGGAAATTAAGTGAAAGTGGAAGTGAAAAAAGGTGGAAAAAAAATTCAAGTCTATCTCTTTTGTTATGGTTTTGTTTTCTCTCTACTGCTGGGTGAGAGTGTTGAGTAGTGAAACCCTAGTGTTGATCAGACTCCTAAATGCTTTCTCACTAACACTTTCAACGCTGCAAATACAACCTTCCAAATGCTGCATTTTCTTCAAGACCATTGTTATGTCTTCATCACCCTTCTTTCTCAATCCCCACAAGCTCTCTACACCAACTTGTTGAAATTCTTCAACCTTCATTTTCTTAGCCTTCTTGCTTAACGTCAACCCCATCCAAGAAGATTTTCTCGACGCAAATGATGATGAAATTCCATTAAAAAGAGCTGCTGTAACCAACACTGTCACCTCCACAACATCACTCACCACACCAGCCAACTCAGTATTTGCAATTGACACCAACATGGATCTTGGAACTGGGTACTGACCGATACATCCAACTGTTGATACAAGTTTAACCATCTCTTTAGCCATCTTTTTTCTAGCTTTTAAATACAAAGCTATTCTTGAATCATCTTTTTTTCTTATAGCCACCTGTGCAGCGAACTGCTCTTCTTTAAGTGCCAAAACTGATGTCTGAAAGATGCCATAAACATCAACAAAACGAAGCAAATCTTCGAGAAGCTTCTCGACCCAGTCGTGTTGGTTACGAAGAGAGTCTTGTGTTTGAGGGAGCTGGAGAATATCATCAAGAGAGTCATGAACGTCTTTGAGACGACCCAAGCCGTCACACAGCCAAGCCGATGTTCGATTATCGGATTTGGACGACCACGTTTTGAGCTCATTGATCTCATTTTTGATCTGGGAAATCAAAGGATGTGATCTGCATGGAAGACTGATGGATCTAATGTGATGAGATATGGGTGGTTTCGATAGACGGTTGGGATGTTTGTTCGGAAACGAAAGAGAACGCTTGAACACGCCTACCATTTCTGTAGTATATAACAGTGGTATTAGTGTTGGGAATTGAATAATAAAACTTTTTATCTCTGGTGGGTTTTTGTTTTGGCGAGGAAGAAATGAAATGAAGAATAGGTATATAAAGGGAAGACAACTAAGGCGCACGAGGGGGTTAGTGAGAAGAGACTTGATCCGCGAATAATTATAGCTGTTAAGCTTAATCATGTGGGTTTAGGCCTGCAAACCGAGGCGTTAATGGGTTCCTTTTCCTGTGGAGAGCAGACACCACGTGGTTTTAACACGCTGGCTTTTCTTGAACACTGATGCATATGCCTCCATTTTTCATTCGTCCTTGCTGTAAATCCAGTCCAGCTACTACCAAAAAACAATGGAAACAAAACCTCGAGCCTTTAACCCAATAACCAGGATAAATGTTTTTATTTTCAACTGGCAATCGCATACATAAGAGGCAGGCCGACACCCATCGTTGGACCTATTTGGCAAGTTTGTGGTATGTCTGCCTTAAAATCAGTTCAAATATATGGCGATAAGCGGTGTGGGTTGGCCTTCAAAAAATCTGGAGAGACCATCACTGTTCAGTCATCTCCATGTTTATTCCTACGTGTTCAAACCTAACCAATCATACAACACAAGTTGATGCATTTTAATGAGCTAGCTCAGCTGTCACAAATACCATCAACTCTCGAGAGATTAAAACAGCCAGAGATTTGATAAACTGTTATACGCGTAGTTCGATTAATTATAATTAAAAGTTAATGCAAGTGGATCCGAAACCAGGAGTGCCTGCCAAGGTGCCAATCTTGAGCTCCTCGCTTCGCTGGAAACTGAAACCTGCTGTGTTATGAGTTCGAAGAAGATTGCGCGTAGCACTTAATAATTAAACGAGGGGACTTGGAACTTGATCAAAAAGACTGTAAGGAGATTAGAATCCGGGGAAATATCATATGAATCTTTAAAAGTCAAATGTTTGAGATCGAATAACAGTTAACTATCTGCCCACTTAGGGAAAGGTTTAGACATTTATTCATTCATGGTTAGAGTTAACGACTTTTTCCCACCCAAATAACGGGTTAATGATACTTTCTCACCCACGTGCTTTTAAAATACCATTTTATTATTTAAATTTATATTCTGATGGTGAACAGAGAATAAACTCGGTCAAGACTATTGGGACTTTTGAAGAGGGGAGACCTATGAGTCTTTTGGTGGTGGAAGATTAGATTTTGATAATTGAGATTGATCAGAATTTGACTTAAGAAGGACGGTTACGCAAACTCTAATCGCTCAATTGCTTATGATTGGTGGGATTGGAGGGAGTAGGGTTTGAAGGGTTTTGGTGAATGATGATTGGGGAAGAGAATGATGGTGGTGTGGGTCACAACAATGTCGAAATAAAAAACAAAATATAAACTTGAGTAATAAAATGATATTTTAAAAGTCTCTAGGTGAGAAAAAGTCGTCTACTCTTCATGGTTATAATAGAAAGAGCTACATTATTTTAATCCATGGATACCGTTCTTCACGAGATATGCTGGACATGGAGGTTTATTTGTATCACGTTCTGCAAGTTTTTTTTGATGATTTTAATTAAATAGACAATCATATAGCCGAGAACAATGCAAGGATAAGCTTAACCATAACACTTACACACATGTTACACATCGTAACGACTTTTAGTTTATGGGCAGTTAATGGAATGGATTATTTTGAAATTGGAAGTATAAAAAAATAATAATATTAAATATCTTTTAATGTAATAGGTAAAATTAATGAATCCAATTGCAATGTAGTTGCATACAACTCTGAAATTTAAAAATACGATGCCAACTCCCACATTTGAGGATCTAATTAGGTACTTCTAGTGGTCCTAATTAAGACGGTCAAAATAATAATAATAATAATAAAACTTATCATGGAAAGGCATGCAGTCAAGTTTTCTTTAGAGTAAACGATATGTTTCCACCCAAGTTTTTGCGAAATGGCAAGTTTTCACGTTTGGTTTCATAAATTCCATATTCTTACCTTTAAATTAATAGAAAATTATTTAACATAACGGTCAAAAGACAAAGTGATTATTGCACAAAATAGTAGAAAAACTCCAATTTAAACCCAAATTCACAAAAAACTCATCGTTTACTCTTCTCTTTCGTTGGGAGGGGGATGGTGAGTCACCAACGAGAGGAAATTAATCAGCCAGAAAAAAACACCCAAACATAACAAAACACTTCAAAACAATCATCCACCCCAAAAACTCCAATTTAAACCCAAATTCACAAAAACCCACAAGAAAACCTAGAGGAGGTCGCCGACAATTGGAGAGCTAACACGGTTTTGGTTGTTGGGGCTTTTGAAGAGAAGAGGTCGGTGAGACTATGGGCACGATGAAAGGATGGATTTTGGTGGTTGGGATTTGTCGGAATGAGAGGGATGGATGGGCGAATCACAAATAAGCTAGAATCCGACAATTGGTGGGGTCGATGGGGTTTTGGTGTGTGAGACTCGAGGAGAAGTTTGTTGGTGATGGGGAAAGCCATCATCATCGAAAAACAACAAAAAAAGTAGGTGGCGACATTTGCTAACGTGCATAACCTCTTGCTATAATGCGTCCTCTATTAATTTGAGAGTTAAGAAATAATTTATTAATTTAGAGGTTAAAAGTTGATAACAGTTTTGGTTTAAGGGTGAGAATCTAAAATTTATAAAACTAGAAGTGAAAACTTGTCATCTCGCCAAACCTTGGGTGGGAACATGTCTTTCACGCTTTGCTTTATTGTTATACGTACCTAAACAAAAGGCTTAGTGGCTCTATATTAATATGTTTAAAAAGAACAAGACTTAGGATTGAGGTGGCATGACTATGATATTTTGATACAACCGTTTTAGAAGCGTTCAAGGATAAGCTTAACACCTGTAGTGTTTGAGCAAAATGACTTGGCCGTTCATTAATAAAATTCTTTCCTTCTTAACCGAGTTGAATAAATGTTAGGTCTGAGTTTGACCATCCAAAGTCCAAACTGCCCGTTATTTAACTGAAGTCAAGTCCTGTAGTTTTAGAATCAAAGACATGAATACTTGGCAACACGAGACATGACAGTAGGCTTTGAAGAAGTTGTCCTCGAAGACTTCAATTAAAAAATTTGAGATAATTTTCGAAATGAGCACGAGATTCTTTGGGGAATATGGCGTTAGCATGCATGAAGAACTCAACCTCAAGCTTTTTTGAAATTCACGTTTTCGCATTTGCAAAGGCCGATTAACATAATTGTGAGTTGCACTGGGGGCATTGAGTCAGCCCCCGTGGTCGGTGGGATTGGTGAGAAGGCATTTCACCGTAAAAAGAAATAGATATCTCACCATCTTGTATAATATGGAACGACTTTATGCGCTTTAAGATTCTTCTTTTGGTAGGTAACCCCGAGGATAAGGACGTAATAAAGAAAAAGAAAATCCACAACAATTCTTTATGTGCCACGTGGACGAACCAAAATTCGCCAAGTTTACTGTTACGGTTTATCGAGAACCCTTTTCGTCATTGATGCTGGAAGCCTGAACCGGCTGTTAGACCCGCATCAACACTGTGGCCAAAGCATCAGCCAGATGAAAAACTTACGGGCTTATGGCCTACTTTAATTAGCGTTGGGGCTTAATCTTTTGAAACCACTAAGAAGACATCCATTTGCATGCAATGGGTGACGTTTTGTGTGTTATATATACGCCGCACGTAGGCAAATGGTAACACGTGTCCTGCATGACCGGAGGGTAAGCAGTACAAAAGGCAAGGATGCGTGAGGAAGTGTAAGGTAAACATGGAAAAGGATGATAACAGAAACCGCTACCGTGAGCCTATGGCGTGGAATGTACGACAAACCGGGACTTGAGAAAAAACCAGAAAAGCGCCCCGCCAGTGAAACCCAGAGTGCTGATGGGCCTGACATCAAGCCACACCCACCTCCACCTTCATCAGGCGACCGTGACATTGACATCACTGGCCAATCTTACATTCAGTAAATCATAACCGTTGTATTTTTAGAATTTCATTTTGGCTTTTCAGTTCTAGTTTGTTACAATGTCATCTAGAATCATAATACGTCAACTCATCCAACGCGAGAACATCATCTGATTGTTGCAAACTGCCTCACCACTGGGTGGTGGGGGGCCTTTCGTTTGACTGATTAAATTTTAATTACATAACGACGCATGCTTAGGATAAGAAATGGTAACACCAACCCAACACATCAGTTCAGCTGTATAGATTAATGTGCGCGGTCGTATTAGTGGAGTTCACTGTCCTTGTAATCGTTTAGATGCTGAATTCGTAGCGTGTCAGTGTGAGCTATACTTTCTAGTTTCTACCACTGAGTTTGGCATGCTATTCTCGTAGTTTAATGGAGAAGGAAAAAGGACAAATCTAAACCATATATTACTCCATTTTATAAATGGTACTTTGTAATGATACACTAATAGCCGGCCTGCCAAATGCCACAATGGGAAATGGAAATGGAATATCATCCAAACGAGTAAGTTATAATAATAACTACTTCTTCTTCTATTGGTAGAATAAAACATGGAAATTATTGGTATAAATCAACAACTAATTTCTTAGAAAGCCAAAAACACCCCCTCTTCTTCGCTTTTACAGAAACAATCTCTTACCCCACCCACCCCCCATCCCATGCTGTCTAAGCTCCTAAACGGCTAAACCAAGCCACATAATCCTCCGGCGGCAGCCTCCCAGTTAGAAACCCGTTTCTTCACCATTAAAATCATCAACACATTCTTTCTTTTTAAACCGCAAATTTTTTCCTTACAGACGCAGATTTCTCCCAGCAACTTTATACAAATCTTCTCCCAACCTCTCCCCATTGGTCCCGAGCATTCACAACTCAAGACTCCCATAATCCCAGTCCGTCCAACTCAACCTTTATAGAGCGATCGCATAACGCCAGCCACGCACCGCCCTTGCACGCGGGCCGTACAAGGTCTGCACTTGGCCCCACTCAGTGGGCCCG